TAGAGGTCCATCCAGTGGAGGTCCAGCAAGTTTCGAGTGACCAGCAAATCTATAGAAACCACCGATCGATCGACCGACAAGCTGACGACGTTCGTGCAGAAAAGTCAAGCTCACAATCTAAGGTGAATCACCGCTGCATTAGACGCTTACTGCAAAACACAGAAGTGGAACAGCTTGTCCATTAAGTAGGTTGCTCTCCAAGCAGGTACGTCAATCCGGCGTCCTGGGTTGATTTCACAGACCAGTGCAAGCGTCTTTGTTAGTGCCAGACTTGCACGGTCCCTGGCGCTCCCTGCTGAAAAAGCAATTCAAAAGAATCCCTGACTACACGGGGCACACACACACACTATAGTGCATATGCATCTTACGATGCAGCTCCTGAGGTCTTCGGAGCTTGCGCCAACCCGTAGGGGTTTAGTAGCGGTGAAGCCCAGGCATGTAGAGGTGATCTTCGATGCGCCTGACAAAGTTGTTTTTAGCGGTGGAGAAACAAGAACTGTTTTGCATCACAGCTTTTTGATTGGTTAAGCATGCAGGTCTACCAGACTCATGTTTTGGTTTCCCTACTGATTGGGAGCGCCTTTGTTGGCAGGAGTCTTGCCTTTCCTTGTGTGTTGGTACAATGGGAAAACATGTTCAGTGGTGAACTTCAGCACAGGTGGGGACAGACACGCACACACGCAAGATAATGTGTACTGAACTGATCGCCCCAAGCCCTTCAAAAGCCTAAGTGAAGAAATGGCCTGAGTAAAACAGGTAGTAGTATGTCTCAAACCTCCAAAAAACCTCTAACGCCTGAAGCTCGTACATCTCAGTTCAGCGAAGTAACCGCTGCAAAGGCTGGACACATTGTTTTAATTACAATCAGGACCATGAGGAAATAGACCTTAGAGCTCAAGCAGCAATGTGCAGCTGATCAGGCTGCAATCCTGAGGTCACCATAGAGAGCTTTGTTGGCCTCCTGTGCCCCCCTGCGTGGAAAGCCAACGGGTTCCCTGTGATTCCAAGGGTTCCACACACGCACGCCTCTCACAAGGGTGTGGCCTGCATCCTGCCCGGAAAGGAGGCGCCCCCATCCTGCCCGGAAAGGGGGTGATGCAAACACATGCGCGCGCAAAAGGGACAGATGAACATGAAAGAGGCGAGACGGACAAAGGAGTGTATGTCGTTGCCGATGAAGGGAAACCAAGTGAAGAGGGACAGCCAATGAACCAAACCTCATTGCAACAAACCTGGGGCACCTGAACCTAGTTTTTTGGTGTGGAGCATGCGTGCGTGTATGCGCAGGCAAGGGCGCGCGCAAGAGAAGAAAAGGACGAAGATGACAAAGCGCGAAGACAGAAGGACATAAAAGAAAAGAAGGAAAAGAGGTCTGCGGGGCCAATGAAGAGGGAACGAAAAGCCGAACCTCATTAAAAAACCTGTTGTAAATGCTTGGCTTGCTTGTAAGGCACGCTGCGCACGAGGAGGAGGGGAAGGGAAAGAAGAAAGGGAAGGGGAAAGAAAAGGCAAAGAAAAGATGGTGTTCCCAGCTACGACTCAAGCGTCCAAGGACACACCAAGACAAGATGAGAGGGGTTCCCAGCTATGACGGAGCATCCAGGGGCACCCAAACAAGAAAAGGGGAGGGAAAAGAAGGGAAAGAGAGAGAGGGAGAGAGAGAGAGAGAGACAGAGAGAGAGAGAGAGAGACAGACAGAGAGAGAGAGACAGACAGAGACAGAGACAGAGACAAAGACAGAGACAGAGACAGAGACAGAGACAGAGACAGAGAGAGAGAGAGAGAGAGAGAGAGAGAAAAAGAGAAAGAGAAAGAGAAAGAGAAAGAGAAAGAGAAAGAGAAAGAGAAAGAGAAAGAGAAAGAGAAAGAGAGAGAGAAAGAGAAAGAGAAAGAGAAAGAGAAAGAGAAAGAGAAAGAGAAAGAGAAAGAGAAAGAGAAAGAGAAAGAGAAAGAGAAAGAGAAAGAGAAAGAGAAGGAGAAAGAGAAAGAGAAAGAGAAAGAGAAAGAGACGAAGAAAGAGAAAGAGAAAGAGACAAAGAAAGAGGAAGAGAAAGAGAAAGAGAAAGATAAAGAAGAAGGGAGAAGGAAGAAGGAAGAAGGGGAAGGGGAACAGGTGTTCCAGCTGCGTAATAAGCGTCCACCCCAAAGAGCAAAAAGAAGGAAGAGGGGAGAGGGAAAGGGGAGCCAGGGGAATTGAGGCCCCAGCAGACCTTGAGAGAACTTCGGCCGCTGCAGCCACGTTGCGCCGTGCCAAACTGGCTGGCAGCTTTGACCGCTATGGTTACCTAATGCTGTCTCAGATTCAAGCATTCGCCAAGTCTTGGCATTAACTTTGGCGCAAGCCTACTCCGCCCGCTGTGGGCGCGTGCGTTTCAATGGAAACAAAGACAAACCCCCAGTCGACGGGGCCACAGGGGACACTCCTCGGGTTCACCCTGGGCATGCATGAAGCCAGACACATGGAAGATAATGCGTACCCTTCAAAACCTAAGTGAAGAAATGGCCTGGGTAAAACAGGTAGTAGTGTGGCTCAAACCTCCAAAAAACCTCTGACGCCTGAAATTCGTACATCTCAGTGAAGTAACCGCTGCAAAGGATGGACGCATTGTTTTAATTACAGTCAGGACCATGAGGAAATAGACCTTAGAGCTCAAGCAGCAATGTGCAGCTGATCAGGCTGCAAATCCTGAGGTCACCACAGGGAGCTTTGTTGGCCTCCTGTGCCCCCCATGCGTGGAAAAACAACGGGTTCCCTGTGCGAAGTTGGGGAAAAACAGCTACGCGCAGGTCCAATCTCGCAAGTATCACAAATACCAGCCTGAACGCGGTGGGTGTATCAGCGTGGCACGAATAGCAGCAAGTCCCAACAACGGAGACAGGCATGAAATCAATGAAGTACAGTAATTAGTAATGAACATAAACTTGGGAAAATCTAAGTTCACAATCCCAGTTTGCCAAATGGTTCCTAGACAGACCAAGTGTTGGATGTTTTCATTGACCCTCACACCCAGCTTCCTCCAACCCAGGCAAGGTGAAGATTGGTACAGACGTCGCAGCCTCCGAGTTCTTCAAGGCGGATGAGAAGGCGAGAGCTGTGAGGAGAGAGAGTTGTTCGGAGATAAAGAGATAAAGAGAGATGAGAGATAAATGAGATACGTGAGTTTTGAACTTGGCTTGCGCGTGAGTGAAGTACGTCTAGGGTTTGGGATTTTTGCCGCCGTTGGATTTGTTTTTGAATCGGTCCATGTTCGAGTTGAGACTGTTTGTGAGCCGATGTCAGCATAGTTTTGTACGTTGCACTTTTCCAGTGCTACGACCTGGATTTCAAGAAGGAAGGAGGTGGTGCTGCGGACATGAAGAAATCCGTGCCGCAGCTCATTGAGTACTACAAATCATGGTTATCCAAATACCCCTTCGTGTCCATTGAGGTGCCTTTGGCGCTCGAAATCTGTTTTAGACACGTTTTCAAGGGCCAAGCTAATAGCGATGGTCTCCTCCAACCTAAGAGCAATGGCCTCCAACCTAACAGCGATGGCCTCCAACCTAATTGCGATGGCCTCCAACCTAATTGCAATGGCCTCCAACCTAATAGCGATGGGACTGCACTACATGATAGGAATGCCTGGGAGGATCCTTTTGACCAAGATGATTGGGATGCCTACAAGCAGTTCATGCTGGAAGTTGGCAAGGACTGCACCATGATGGTGTGCCATAGCTTGATGGGTGGACATGGTTGTCATACCTTACAGTGTTGGAGGACACTCAGATTGTTGGAGATGATTTGCTTGTCACCAATCCCAACCGGATCAAGAAGGCGCTAGAGGTAGGTGCCTGCAATGCCTTGCTCTTGAAAGTGAACCAGAAGCTTGAGCGCAAAGGCGAGGGAAGGGAGGTTGAAGTGTGGTCTGACAAACAAATAAAGCTCTCATAGCTGCATAGCTTCTCGAACACACAAATAGCTTCTTCCTTCCACTTTGATTTTGAGCACGAACATGTGAGGATTGGATCCATCTCTGAAGCGATTGAAGCTGCGAACATGTCAATGGAAAATGGTTGGGGAGTCATGGCAGTTGACTCAGACTTGCTCACTTGCTCAGCTCAGTTGTGGACGACTTTTGTGTCCGGTAACTCCTAACACCTTTATATTTATACCGTGTATTTTCCTAAAAGCAACAAACTGCAAAACAACACAGTGAGATTACAGGAGATGTCAGCGATGACTAAGATGTGTGGACCGCTGAGGTCTCTCACCGTTCTGGTGAGACAGAGGATTCCTTCATTGCCGACCTTGTTGTTGGTCTCCGTACAGGGCAGATCAAGACTGGTGCCCCTTGCCGATCTGAACGTCTCGCGAAGTACAACCAACTGACTCATGGCCCTCATGGCTAGGTTGTGAGACCTTTGTTTTTTGCTTGTGCCTTTTTTCTGCGAAGATACTAGTAACAAGTGCATCGCTACTAGTAACGAAGCTACTAGTAGCAAGGTGCCTTACTACTAGTTGCAGATCCTGCTTTTCGTCCAAACAACCTCAGTCGAGGATCCGCATCGAGGAGGAACTTGGCCCCATTTGCAGTCCTTTGACTAAGCACAAATGGACAGAATCAAAACATCAATTGAAGCGAGAGTCAATCCAAAAACATACAGCAATGGATGCCAAGTTGGCATTTTTCCGGATCCCAGCCATCTCTTTCCAGGCTTTGCAGGTAAGAACTTCCGGAGACCTTAAAGCTGAAGGCCCCGGTTTCTCAGAGGCGGTGAGAGATGAGAATCGGCCAATTCAATTGGCAGTCGATTCTTGACTTTGACATCAAGCTATGTCGGTGTCGAACCACATCTGCCTTGTCAAAGTCCATGGCAGTGGGATCTCCGACCAAAGTGCCGCGCCAGCACCAGAAATTGCGCCGAGACAAAGTTAGATCGGAAGATGGATGAAAAGCGGGGCATTTTTCAGACATACAAAATGGGAACACATTTTGAGAAACAAAATCAACTGTTTCCAGCACATGTTTCCTTCCGTTTCCAGTGATCCACTTCCATGGGCTTGCTAAGCAGAAATAGCAGGTTCTTTTCTTCTTGGAACTTTTGCTCGGCATCCTTCTGCAGCATTTCCAGAGCATTCCCGGCGAGACCATGGACAAGCAGAGCTTTTCCAAGCTTGTAGATGAGTCTCTGCACACGTTGAGGAGAAAGCTCTTAGATGCCTTTCCAGAGGAGGAGAACGGACAAAGTCTTTGTGGCTCTGCACGTGGAAGTCCTAAGACTTTTGAGCTTCGAGGTGAGAAGGGCGAGAAGAGCTCCAAGAGTTCCTCTCAAAGGATTGGAAGTCAATCTCCAGAAGCCTCTCAGGTCGTTCCCACCACTTCTGATGCGAGCCCTGTGATGCTTGATGTGGAGATGCCGGAGACACCTGTTCATTCGAATCCCGACTTGGTGCCAGCTTTCAAGGCGCGAAATGGACGTTTGAAGGATTTTGAAGGCATCCTTTAGGACTTACAATTCCGGAGCAAGATTGGCCTCAGACTTTCAAACCGAAAAACAGCAAATGCAATGACACACGACCGACCGACATCGACCAATAAGACGTCTAGTGGCCCGAAAGGCCTGGCTTCGGGTTCGAAGCTGGTTTTGAATCGCCTTCCCCGAACTCGTGGTCTTCATCCGCCAAAAGGTCACAAGTACGGGGAATGGTCTTTCTGTTTCTGTTCTCCAGGGGAGCGAAGAGGAGGCTCGGGCGATCCGCGGCCGTTTGCGCCTGCGACTGGGAGCGTTGAATGATTCCTTGGTCTCGGGGAAGGCCTTGTTCGATGCCTGTTCTCTGGCGAGAAAGTGTCGTTAGAGGCAGCTGTGCTTCGTTGTCCTCCTTTTCGGCATCTCTTTTCATTTGAAGCTCCAAAGAAACACTTGTGGAGGCCATCGCTCTTAGGTTAAAGGCCATCGCTATTAGGTTGGAGGGCATTGCTTTGTTTCTGCGAAGACTTTGGAGGTGATTTGTTCGAAACATCTATATAAGCACTCGCTGTGTCGAACTTGAGTCCATGGGCTTGGCTGAGGTGTGTCTTTGGGACTCACACGCTTCACGATTGAGGACATGAATCTGTTTGTGAATCTCTTGGCAAACTACATTGAACTGGAATTTGAGCGGGAAGAAGGTCAAGAAAAACCGAAGAGGCACAGTTCTTTGGCTGCAGAAAGGACATGAAGAGACTCTCCACCTTCGCTTTCGCCAGACAAGATCTTGACCACCACTTGTAGTGGTGGATATCAATTGATTGAGAGATCAACCTGTTTTCTTGCGCCAAGGTGTGAATATGAGTGGGAAGCGAATATGTTCACTCCACCCCACTAGGGATGGCCTCCACCCTACTAGCGATGGCCTCCAACTTGCGCCAAGGTGTGAATAGTGCCAACATGTTCTTTTTCAAGAACCACCAAGATGTGAATATCACTGGGAAGCCTGTGTGGAGATGGCCCAATGTGCAATCGGCGAGTCGGACCTCAATTGCGCGGAGTGCTCCTTGGCAAACTCCGACTGACTCCAACCCCGGAAAGGTGGAAGCACAAGGGCCTCCAACCTAGCGAGGAAGCACCCTTACAGGGACCTAAAAAAAAGCACAAGCAGCATACCTGTGGTCCTTGTGGTGAATAGGCTGGCAAGAAGCTCCTTGTGTCCAAGGCCTCAATGCAGATGCAGTCATACAACTTGACAGAGCCTACCCTCGAGCGGAAATTCAATGTAGTTCCGGCTGCGCCATTGATGGAAGTCTTCTTAGCCAAGGAAAGTGAGACACACAGGACGAACATCGCATCAAGTTGAAGAATTTGAAGCCGAAAAAACGACAACCTACTAGCGGCTAGCGATGGCCTCCAACCTGCTTGTGATGGCCTACTTAAAGGGTCATTTTGACAGCTTAGAATGTCAAAGGCGTGGTTTTCACACTGTGTTTGCTGAGTCCAGGCATTTGGGAGGAGGATATGATACAAACGTACACATCAGGTTGCATGCGTACAAACGTGAGTTGACAAGAAAAGCCAGCTGTGATCGGTGTACTTCTGCGAGGAAGATCTTTGGGCAGAGACACATGAAGCAGTTTCAGGTGCACACTTTTGTTTATTTGTTTTTGTGATAGTTTTTTGGTTCTTCAGGAGCTGTGCTCGGCTCCAGGGGAACGGTCTTGATAGCGAGATTGAAAGGTATCAACATGCTAACAATCACTCAAGTCACTGGAGCAGTCCTATCAACTCGAAACAAAGGAAGTAATTCACAAATTATTTTCAAAAAAAAATCCATCTAGCCATGTCTGTGTTTTGTGTGGATTCTGGGAAGGTGAGCCTTAGAGGTGTGAGCTTGTAGCTTGTTGGGAGTTCTACTGAGTCAATTGAGTAAGGAGGTTGTGGCGCCTTCGCCTTGTGCACAGTGCTGTTGCCAGGCCATGAAAGAGATCCTTCTGGCAGGGGTCACTTGGTCCGAACAAAAAGCCGCTCTAACCAAATCGGTCCATGCCCTCACTGCCGCCAATGGGCCTTGTCACCCAAGGACACAAACCGCCTTGTGGCTGAGCTGACATTTGCACCCTGGATTGGTATGGTTTTTTCGCAGCGGACTTCCCGAAAAGATAAGCCAAGGTTCGCATCAATGATCTGGCCGCCCCACCAGTGTCTAGCCGAAATGAGGATTTTTGAATTGCACCTGGTTGTTGCTGAACCAGAAACATGCTGTCATCAAGCCATGCTGGTGCATTTGAAAAAGAGAGAGAGAGGGAGAGAGGGAGAGCAAGAGAAAAGAAGAGAAAAGAGAAGAGAAGAGAAAAGAGAAGAGAAAGGAAAAGATAAGAGAAGAGAAGAGAAGAAACGAAGAAGAGAGAGGAGAAGAGAGATTGGTGGGTGGGTGGGTCGGTCGGTCGGTCTGTAGGTGCGTCGGTACAGGCAGGTAGGCAGGCAGGTGGGTAGGTATCAGTTTGGTTCACTCGATGGAAAAAGTGAAGGCTTGCAGGGATAGGTCCGTCCCTGGCTCGATTGTTGGAAGCACAGAAGTGCACACATGGCCGCAAAAGCTTCTATGGCACAGCCATGGAGCAAAGATAAACATCTGGACATGCATTCAACAAAACCGTGACTTGAGGCCTCTCAAGCAGTTGGGTTGGCCTGTGCAACCCTTGGTTTTGGATTCGTGTTGGAGGTTGTGCAAGCGACGAGCGGTCATGCCCGGAAGAGCAACGCGAGATTATTTTTGCTTCATCTCGCCGGCGAATCTATTCAGTTCCTCGTAAGCCACCTGGCTAAGCCAGCGGCAGCACTGGGCGCCATAATCCACCACACCAGATTTAGTGGTCCTGTTTTGCCAAGTTGCTTTGTGCAGGATGCCTGAGTGCCACATGCTTCATCAAGGCCCTGAGCGTGAGGATCATCTTTCCCCACTGGTCAAGCAGCTCAAGCGCATTCTTTGGATCAGCTGGAGTGGGCCAGGTGCCAACCGCTCACGAAACCTTCACGAAGCCCAGAACACGCTTGTCCTCTCTGTTTCAAGACCCCAGGAATCGTTCGACGGAGGGAAAGCTACGCAAGTTCAACCAGAGTGCATCCTCATTAGAGCGATCTTCATTTCAAGAACCCCCAAAGCCCCACCCACTGGCCCACCCGACCGCCATGGCTATCGCTGCTGTTCAAGGAGTCCATCGTCCAGACGAAGCACTGCCTGGTTCAACCACAGAGACTGGTAACCTGCCAGTTCCTCCACCTGCCGCAGTTGCCACTATAGTTCATGAAACCCATCGTTCTGAAGAATCACTCCCGGACATTCTCTCCACCGTCGCGGAGATCCCAGTGCCAGACGCTGCGCATCCAGCAGACCCTTCCACTGCTGTTGACTTTTCTACCAAAGCTGAAACATCCCATCATGAGCTCCTGTCAGCATTCCCGTCGGCCCATGTGGGCAGTCCTGATGATCGCGCAGTACATCTCACCAGTGCCACTCAAAGTGAAGGTCATGACACTGCTGCGCCAAAGGATACGACCACTTCGCCGCCGGCATCTTCAGATCCTGCGCCGCCTGTTCCTTCGAGCTACAGGAAGCCAAGCGCAGCAGTGGTTTGATAGCAGACGCAGCCATCGTTTGCACATCTCACAGAGGTCGGCCATCCAGCTGTTGGGCACGCCAATGGAGATCTTGCTCGAACCACAGAAAGCCTGTGTGGTTCTCTTTCCGTGCTGGCTGACTCCAGTATACGCGCGCGGATTCATCTGCAAGGAGTGCAGGCCCCAGCGGACAACAGAGGCCTTGTAGTGCGTGGGTCATGTAAAATCTTATAGATTGTAGACAGGAGAGACGCGGCCGCGTCCAGTTGGGCCAAACATACCAGAAAGGCAGCATGGTTTGGAGGCGTGCCCGTCCGAATTTCTTTGGGTTTGATATTTTCTCTCTCTCTCTCTCTCTCTGGAGTTCAAGGGCCTGCGGCATTGTCAATTATAATTGTTCATTGTGACATATATATATATGTATACATTGTATCCCCCACTTGGTTCACCTCATTGTCAACACAGTGGAGTCACATATTTTGTAAACGGCAATCATTGTTGAACCGACAACAGTAAACAACATTAGCCTTCAATTCTACACAGTGTGTCGTTGGAAGGTCTGTGCAAAAGTTTGGCTTTGTGCCATGCTCGTTGCGCTTTTAAACCGCGTGCCTCGTGGCAGCTTTGCCAGTCCATTTTTGTTTTTCACGGCTCATTCACTCGTAGTCGATTTCGATCCAATCGACCAGAGCTTGCTCTTGTACTTGTTCACTGCCAGACTTGAGCTGACTGCGCCGAATTGGCTGTTGTCGGAGCCCGCCTGCAGTTGTTGCCAGCCACCCTCCGCTACCATGTTGAACGTCGAATTTTTTGTTTGTGCGCGCTGTGGTTGCTTGTTTCTGAGCTCAAGGGCCCTGCGGTATCGTCACTCACTCATTGTGACATATATCAACATATAGATTTTGTGGAAATGAGTGTTTGGAGTCATGTGCCGATTGACCTTCAACGACCCCGCTCATTCCGGTTCGAACTGCAAGGGGCCCTGAACGCTCGAACGTGTGCGCCCGTCCGCTTTGATGGAAATAGGAGCTGCCGTTGCTTGTCGCTGAGTGCCCACAGTGACAGCGGAGCACGGTGACATCCAGGAGACCACAACATGAGTGACGAGGAGTTCGGCGCGCCAGCGAGGTCAGGAAGAGCCGGCCGAGGTTCAGATTTCAGGGGAGCCTCCAGTCATGACGTAGCTAGTGGGGAACCAGCACGAGAGGGGTTTCGTGATAGGGATCCTCCTCCTACCTACGACGGGAATGACCCGGAGGCAACGTTCAGGACATTCGAGAAGAATGTCAGGTTGTGGGAACACGAATCCGACATCCCACGATCCAAAAGGGGTACCAAGCTTTTTAGGGCTTTGAGCGGAACCGCTCAAATCGCCACGGAGCAGATGGAGTTCGACGAGATCGCCAGTGAAGACGGAGTTCGAAACATCATGACACGTCTTCGTGAGTTCTTTTCTCCACACTTGGAAGTTAGTCTTCCTCGGGCCTTCGAGAATCCTCGTCATCGAGGAGGTAATCCGGGTCCTCAGTCACCTGCTCGGTGTCCATCATGTAGTTGGATTTTCCCCCTTTTTCTTTCACTACCTTGTCCAACTTGCGAATTGCCTTGGTGATGGTGACCTTGTCGTAGCTCCCATCGCACCAGGTCAAAAGCCGCTGCTCCTGTGACTCGGTGAGTGAGGCTTGTCGATACACTATGTATCCGGTGGCTCCGGATGGAAGTTCAACACCCTCCTTGGCAAGTCGGCTGAAGTTCCTCTCCATGCGGGCGAGGTATTCGATGAACGATTCATTCGATTGACGGGGTTTCCCGTACACCGCATGACGGAGAGAACTATGTGTATGTGGCGGAAGGAGATCTGGATCAGATCTTCGAAGAAGAAGAAGTGAATGCAGCGTTGGCCAGCTACAAAGAGGTCAGGGAGGCCTTGAAGAACCAGAAGATAAATAGAGGATACTATCCTAAGGGCAAAGGAGGCTGGTCAAAAGGAAAAGGTAAAGGCAAGAGCAAGGTGCACATCAAACAGCTAAAGCTGAGGACACGCTGCTGGCGGTGTGGTGCCATTGGACACATCAGTCGAGAATGCAACAATCCACCCGTCGACCGCAACAAGGGTTCAGGATCCAGTCAAGCCCCGACCAATTCTTCACCGGCGTCAACGAAGTCCGGCTTCCCGGTCATTTCAGAGGCGCCAGACGAAGAGGATGAGCAAGAGCCCAATAGCTTTTTGAGCCTCTCTCATACAGAAGATTTTGAGGTTCACGATTTTTGGCTTAGAGAGTTTGTAGAGAAGCACAGGAGGGAACACGGCCCTCACATCGCTGAAGCAGAAACCAAGTCCGAGTACAAGGGCGCGCAGTCCTCAACATTTTGTGGCATTACAACACGATCTCACCATGGCATAGTTGACACGGCAGCAGAAGGAGGATTGATAGGGACGTGTGCTTTGGAAAGGTTGCAAGAATGTTTGAAAAGTTTTGGTTTGCAATATGTTTGGACCTCCAAGAAGTCTTCAGCAAAAGGGGTTGGAGGTCCTGCCAAAGTTCATGGAGTAGTGTACATTCCCATAGGAGTCGGAGGGGTGAACGGAGTGCTCGAAGCAACGGTGGTTGAAGGTGAGGTTCCTTTGCTTTTGCCGGTCAAGATGATGAAGAGTCTCAGAGTCATCATAAATTTCACCAACCTCACCTTCCACCTCTCGGACGAGAACACAACGATCGACGTGCGTGAGCTGCCCTCCGGACACGTCACCATTGAGGTTTCTGATTTTCATGAAGAAGGTTTCAGTGTGGATGTGAGCAATGCACCTTTTTGCACGCAAGATTTCATCATTTTGAACACCAACCGAGCCATGCTGGCTCAATTGAGCAGCGGAATCCGCGACCGCTTTGCCCCGATCCTGGAGGGATCCCTCTCTGCGCAAGAGGGTTGCCATGTCGGGAATCCTCGAGCGCATGGGCAAGCTGACGCATTCCACACCCAAGAAAGGAGAACGGGAGCAGCTCGCCTTGGAGTATGGTCATCGCCCAAAGAGGGCGTATCGCAACTGGAGAGTGATGCTCGACAAGATCTTCGTGCTGCTATGGTTTGCAGAAAAAGAGCAACTGGTGCAGTCATGGTTCCCCGGATACTTGTCACCTTCGGAGCAGTTTATGCTGCGATCAAAGGAGGAAGAGGAGGAGACGCTCGAGCATGCGTATTCCAAAATCATAACCGGTGCCAAGACCCTGTCTCCTTTGAAGTCCAAGGAAGCTCCAAAGATGGCCATCAGCTCCTGCACGCACCCGAAGCATCAACTCAAGGGAGGAGGCAATGCGACCGCTTCGTACGTTGTGTGCAAGATGTGCCATTGCAGGTCGGAGAACAACACCACCTCAGCCGCATTGAAGAAGATGTTGAAGGAGGACAAACAGAAGGGCCCCTCGAGCCAAACATCTCGGGAACCATACCAGGCGATCGAGCAGGGTGCCAACAACAGCCTGGACATCAAGAAGGCACTCAACCAGGAGTTCGAGAAGGTGAAGGACAAAGAAGCGGCCAAGGAGAGCTTCCAGGTGGCTACGGCAGAATTCCAGAGGATG